ATAACCAAAATTTTGTTGCATTATTTTGAAGGTCTGGAAAGCATACTTTGCCTCACTGGAAATGTCTTTTGAATGGCCCTAATTGTTCATCAGTTGTAACATTGTTGTTGTTGTTGTTTAGTCGTTTAGTCGTGTCTGACTCTTGGTGAGCCCATGGACCAGAGCACACCAGGCCCTCCTGTCTTCCACTGCCTCCCGCAGTTGGGTCAGACTCATGTTTGTTGCTCCGAGAACACTGTCCAACCATCTCGCCCTCTGTCGTCCCCTTCTCCTTGTGCCTTCCATCTTTCCCAACATCAAGGTCTTTTCCAGGGGGTCTTCTCTTCTCATGAGGTGGCCAAAGTATTAGAGCCTCAGCTTCACGATCTGTCCTTCCAGTGAGCACTCAGGGCTGATTTCCTTAAGAATGGATAGGTTTGATCTTCTTGCAGTCCATGGGACTCTCAAGAGTCTCCTCCAGCACCATAATTCAAAAGAATCAATTCTTCGGCAATCAGCCTTCTTGATGGTCCAGCTCTCACTTCCATACATCACTACTGGGAAAACCATGGCTTTAACAATACGGACCTTTGTTGGCAAGGTGATGTCTCTGCTTTTTAAGATGCTGTCTAGGTTTGCCATCACCTTTCTCCCAAGGAGCAGGCGTCTTTTAATTTCGTGACTGCTGTCACCATCTGCAGTGATCATGGAGCCCAAAAAAGTAAAATCTCTCACTGCCTCCATTTCTTCCCCTTCTATTTGCCAGGAGGTGATGGGACCAGTGGCCATGATCTTCGTTTTTTTGATATTGAGCTTCAGACCATATTTTGCGCTCTCCTCTTTCACCCTCATTAAAAGGTTCTTTAATTCCTCCTCGCTTTCTGCCATCAAGATTGTGTCATCTGCATATCTGAGGTTGTTGATATTTTTTCCGGCAATCTTAATTCCGGCTTGGGATTCATCCAGCCCAGCCTTTCGCATGATGAATTCTGCATATAAGTTAAATAAGCAGGGAGACAATATACAGCCTTGCCGTACTCCTTTTTGAACCAGTCAGTTGTTCCATATCCAGTTCTAACTGTAGCTTCTTGTCCCACATAGAGATTTCTCAGGAGACAGATGAGGTGATCAGGCACTCCCATTTCTTTAAGAACTTGCCATAGTTTGCTGTGGTCAACACAGTCAAAGGCTTTTGCATAGTCAATGAAGCAGAAGTAGATGTCTTTCTGGAACTCTCTAGCTTTCTCCATAATCCAGCGCATGTTTGCAATTTGGTCTCTGGTTCCTCTGCCTCTTCTAAATCCAGCTTGCACTTCTGGGAGTTCTTGGTCCACATACTGCTTGAGCCTTCCTTGTAGAATTTTAAGCGTAACCTTGCTAGCGTGTGAAATGAGTGCTGCAAAAAGCATTGTGGAAGATTGTGGGTAAACATATTCCACAGGTCACACCGAGGAGCAAGCTCCTCTCTGACACTGGTAGTCCAGGGCTGAAGCCAGACATCAATTCCAAAGACTTTATTTATCCTTTTGGGGGAAAGCCAGTGACATCATACCCTTGATGGTAATTCAATTTGTAATGTGAATTTGATTTGAGAACTCCCATTTTGTAAAGATATTTCTGTGAAAAAAGTGACCAGTTAAAAGTCCTTGACTGAGAATGGGCATTAAGTCTTGCTGCATACTGGATTAAGGGTGATGGCTGCTTGCAACCTTAGCAACTGCAATTGGAATACCCAAAGTTGTATTGCTAAGTTTTGAGCAATATGATAACTATGGGTTATATCCAATTGTGGTTTTGTGCACGGAGCACTTCCATTTTCATCAATCTCTCCTAACACTTGCAGCTTTTATGCACATTCTATGATTCTGTGATCCCATACTGTCCCATAGAATCCCTGAATTCCAAGAAGGGTGTGGATGGCACTGGGGTGATAGATAATCAGTAAGCACCCTGCCTTTCACAATAAGTGCATATGCTAATGCAAAACCACCATAGGATATAATATATTAAAAATATTTTGCTGGTTCATAAGGTAGGTGACGAGGAAATGTTGCAAAAATCAAGTTCAGAAAAGAGTTTTGTAAATCTGTAGGGTACTACTGATCCCCAGCACAGTTTGTGGCAATGTCTGGGCAAGTGAGTGTGTTGTTGATTATGAAAATAGATAAAAGATAAAAGTATTTTCACCTTCTATGGTTACCTTTCTCACATGAAATAAACAGAGCAGGTCCTATGCTAAGCACCTGTAGACATGGCAAATAACTAATCTATTAACAGCATTTGACAGGAACACTTTGACTCTATCATGTGTGATAGGGGTGGTGGTGTTTTCATTCATTCATGGAGTTGAATTGACTCCAAAAGCCTTAAGGGTAAATATCAATTTTTCACCTAATGATGGGCTTGGAGTGTATCAGATGGAAGCATTAAGACTGCAGTCCTATCTGCACTAACCTGTAAGTAAACTTCACAATGAGAATTACTTCTGAATAAACATGTACAGTGGTACCTCGGGTTACAGACGCTTCAGGTTACAGACTCCGCTAACCCAGAAATAGTACCTCAGGTTAAGAACTTTGCTTCAGGATGAGAACAGAAATTGTGCGGCGGTGGAAGTGGGAGGCCCCATTAGCTGAAGTGGTACCTCAGGTTAAGAACAGTTTCAGGTTAAGAACAGACCCCCAGAACGAATTAAGTTCTTAACCCGAGGTACCACTGTATAGGATTGTGCTGTAAACAGGGTGGTCTATTTCAGTGGGTTGACTCCAATTATGACAGTCAGATACCACCCTATGGGTTCTATTCAACATAGCGCAAAGGAGATAGTCCTGTTGGGCAACCAGAAATGCTTATGCTGATAGAACTATCTCCCCTCTCTTCTCACTGTGTGTTGTTCTGGGGGTTCTCCAGAGCAGATGGGGGGGGTGAAAGTCGCTGGGGAATGAGGATTTAGACGTCCTGTAGCACAAGGGGGAATTCCTTGTGCTGACTTCCACTACCACAATTATTTAGTTGAAAAGAGCCTATGTTACTTATAGCATACCAAATTATTCAGGGTAGTTAAAACAAAAAATGATGTGCTCCTCAAAGTACTTACTTATTTTATGAAGCAACACATTTTTTTTTAGAAAATGAAACTTTATGCAATGTTTCCTATCCCACATCACTGAATATCTACGTGCATTTTGCTTCAAGTTTGCAATGCGTTAGTCCTGTCAGTCACTACACATTAGCCCTGTCCGCTATTCAAAGGATTAATCCTACTTATTTGGACACCTTGGACAGCAGCCCAGGTTATGGCCTACTCCAGAAATCTGTACAGTACTACCTTCCTCCTCCTAAACATGTGTTTCCACCTTCCCCTGCATACTCTGCTTCAGGAGTTATGCTGCCATCCATGTTTTTCATCAGGTTTTTTTTAACACTCTTCTTATCCTAAGTCTGTCCAGGAAATGATGTCAATCTGGTTACCCACAGTGGGTTTTTAAAGTCTCAGAGAGCAGTGTGCAATTCCTCAAATATTTCTAGAACACAAGTGTCAGAGCTTATCTGTGACTGGCCAACAAGGATTTGAAGCGCCTAAGAAAATGAGAGTGACACAGGTTGTATCAGCATCCCAACAATGAACTGGAAACAAACTTGCCAGCCAATTTAAGCAGGTTCATGAGCCACTTTAGAAAATGAAGAGTGATAAGAATGACAACCAAAGCATTCAGGGATTGTTAACACAACTGCTATGTATATCTACAGCTTGACTGCACTGCTAAATATAGGTCCTTCCAATGTTAAGTCTAATCTGTCTTTCACTAATAAACATTTGTGTAAGGATGCCTAGGACACAATCTATCAGAAGTTAGTCATAACAGTGCAATCCTGTGTCTTCTCAGAGGCAAGTCCTACTGAATTCAAGGGGGCTAACTTCCAGGCATATTGTATCAGGATTGCAGCCTAAATCTCACTGAAAGCAAAGCAGTATCACTTCTTACAGACTGTACTCTGAAGAGTGCAAAAGTACTTCGGCAATGAATATCACATAAAGAAATCACGAAGGTTTTGAGCCTTCCTTATTTATTTTATTTCCATTTTGTTATGCTGCTACTGACTACTGAAGTAGATTCAAGCTACTATTATAGTAGAATTATTTAGCAACAACTTTAATGCAAATCCCTCCCTTTCATCTGTAAATTTTCAGTGCCCAAACTCCATGGCTAAATTACATCAGAGAGAGAAATTGCTGGGAGGGGGAAGGCAGAGCTGCAACCAAAGTTGGCAGTGTAAAAAGAAAGATACTATCTTAAAAGCTCTTCTTGTTATTCTCTGAACTCCTGAAGTGCTTGTTTCATCCCAGAAAGTATCAATCAGCAGGCAGAATTAATCACAGTGTACAAAAACACAGTCACAAGAGCAGCTTGATGAAGTAATGATTTTAACAACCATGCTCCAAAGTTCAGTGAACTGAGGTTCACTTACCATAAAACTGAATGGGCACATTTAATGCTGCAAACTCAATATATATTCATTGCTAACCACTAGCATGCACTTAACAGATCTGTAGATCAGTAGTGCATCTACAATGTTTTGCTTTTTCATTGAATTGTAGAGAAAATACTTCTAACCCAACATTTGCGGACAGCTACAACAGGCTTCTTCTTTAAGATGTGAATTCGATTTGAGAATAATACTTTACACAGAGGCCTATGGCCACAGTAGAATCCATTTTATAAAAAAGCAGGAAACTGGAGGTGGGGGAAGGGGGCGCCCATTTTCTGTTTAAAATTCAACTAAAATGCAATTAAGTCTCAAGGACTGGCTTGATAAAAACAACCAATTGGCCACATATACCGCTAACTTACACTGAAGTATTTCACTTAAGTTTGTTCTCCCTCTTCCCCCAACCTTTTCCCAATCACTTGGCGACGAGCTGGGAGGGGGGGGTGGACCAACAACGCTGAAAACGAAAGTGAACAGAAAAGCGAAGGAGGATTTTTTTTTAAAGAACAGCAGAAAAGATACGAACTTACTTTTCATAAACAAGCTCCTCATCCGTACAGAAATAGTGCGTGTTTACTGTGCTTCTGGGTCGGTTTCGTAAAGTAGCAAAATATAGTCTGTCTGCAAGAAAAAAGAAAAGAAAGGGAGACCATGAAGGAAGATCTTCAAGTTATACGTCCCGCTGCTTAGCTGGAACTTGGGTGTTAGTTCAAAGCGGGCAGGGAGAGTCGCTTGTCCCCCCGTAAAAAAGAAGAAAAAAGAAAGAAACCCTACGCATTTGATCGGGTTTCACTCCGGAGCAAGCATTACCTGCCACCAAGATTTCGCAGCTGGGCGGCGACGTCTCCGCCTCCTCCATAACTCTCCTTCCCCTCCCGCCGACGGGGGGACCCTTGCCGCCCGCCTCGCGATTTGGGGGGATTGCAAGGGCTCCCCCCGAAGCAGCTTCTCCCGCAGCGACTGAGGGGAGTTTCGCGTTCGCTCCGGGCGCGCGCCGAACTTCGCCCCGGGGAAAAAGGCGGTTCTCACCCCCGCCCCGGGCCAGGCGCTCCCGGGACAGCGGGGGGGGGCTGTTGTTGCGTCGCGCCCCCTTCCTTTATATGTCGGGAGGGCAACCCCTACTCGGGGAGGGGAGACCCCTCCTCCTCGCCGCCGCCGCCGCCGCCTCACCTTTGAGGAACTCCGAGGCTCCCAGCAGCTGCTCGGACGAGGCGGGCGGAGCCGGCTCCATGCGAAAGAGGGCGCGGAGCTGCGTGGCTGCGCGGGAAGGCGCCTCCGAGCTCATGAGTGCCTCCCGGAACGGCGGCGGCTTCTCCGTCGTCGTCGTCGTCTTGGGCGGCAGCGGCGGCGGCCGGACAGCCGCTCGGCCGGACTCAGAGGCGCCAGCAGCAGCGGCGCGGCATGCTGAGGGAACGGGCAGCCGCCGCCGCCGCCGCCTGGCTGGCTCTGGACTTGTGCGGCTGCCGCCGCCGCCGCCAGCATGGGATGCGAGGTGCGCGCGCGCGCCTCAAGGAGGCAACCGGCCGGCGAGGCGCTGCTCCGGCGACGGCGGCCACCCCCACCCCCAGCAGCAGCAAGCCGCGAGTGGCGGTGGAAAGGAGCACGGAGCCGGCCTGAGGGGAAGGGAGGAGGGCGCGGGGTGGCGTGGAAGGGGTTCCTTCGCCGCCGTCCCGCCCTCCGGCGGCTTAAAGGGGCAGCGCGCCGTTACCAAGCAGCCGGCGCCGGCGGTAGCAACCGCGTTACCAGGGCTTTGTTACACGCGCGCGCTTTTACCTCAGGGCTCTTCCCGCCCGGCCGCTTCCGAGCCTCGGGCCTTGCCAGGGGAGCGGGGCGGTCTGAGAGGCCGCTCCTTCTTTCCACTTTAAGCCGAAAACCCCTCCAAAAGCCGGCGGGCCGAGGCACCGGGCCTACGCGAGTTTAGTCAGAGGCCGCCTCGTTCAGTGTGTTGTTGTTGTTGTTGTTGTGAGGATCGGGCGCAACCTTCACTCCGGAGTCGGTCCCCGCCGTTCAGTGCAACTGATGCCGTCCCCCTCTCAATTTAATGATTACTTAGTTAAACATGTTAAGTTAAATTAACTGAAAACAGCTTGCAGATACTTAATTGGCTTAGGATTTTATTTAAGTGATGAATTAATATGTTTAATTTCATAATGTGAAGATCTAAGGATGTTAATGTTTAAGTTAATTTTTTTTTAAGAACTGTGATTTGGAAAACCGTTAACAGGATATGCAATGAAATTCAACCAAGGGGAAGCGAGGAAGTCACTTAACAATGTTAATAAGTGTAATTTTTAATAAGGCTATGATTTTTGTTTGTTTTATGTGTTTGTTTGTTTATAATGTTGTGAAAACCAATAAAAAAATGGGGGGGGGGAATGCCGTCCCCCCATAACCATCCCAATCGAGCCTGAAGCTCAAGTTGTATTACCTTCCAGGAAGCAAAGATCCATCCCCGGGGCGAAGGAATGCTTCTTCAATATTGATATAGAAAAATAGGGGTGGTTGGCTTTTGCTGCCCATCTTCCCAAGGGCTGAGTCCCCCAAGTCCAGGATCGGTCAGAGATGAATGGATGGAGGTCAGAGGGCAGCGAAAGCAAGGCAGATCTTCATTTTTCTGTTGCAACGGAGTTCCCTCCCTCCTAGCAAGGAGGCAAGAGAGACCCAGAGCAGAGCCCAGAAGAAACATCTCTTTTAAGGGTTTGCATTTTGGCGTGGAGAAGGAGGACATCCCCTCTACAAACGGTCAGAAATTGCATCACGCATAAGGTGGGGTTACTGTGGCTCAGGCAGGCCAAGGGGTGATATTCCTGAGGATTTAGCAAGTTTTACATGGTTCCAGACACAGTTTACACAAAACAGTGTTTCATAAGACAACCAGGATGCCCGTCAGACATCCCTGAACACAGAGCATCTGGGTAAACCATGACAATACAAAGGAGGTTCATAGATATAGCAGAGGAATCGCTTCAGGAACTTCCCCTGATTGCTACCTGCCTAGTGTTCTCAGGCAAAGGGGAGTAAGGAGGCAGAGGAAATATTTAGAGTCTTTAGAAGAGCCAAGATGGCTTTTGGATTGCTCTCCTGTACTATTGCAGACATGTGGTTTATATACTTATGCATGCATGCTTACTTTGTGCAATTATCAACATTTATTCTACATTTGAGACCTTAGAAGTCCTATAACAACATTCACTTTGTTGGACTGGTCATGTTGTGCGGATTCCTGATTACTGTCTTCCAAAGCAACTACTCTAGTCCAAACTTAAAAATGGAAAGCATAATGCCAATGGGTGACAAAAGAGGTTTAAATAGTCTCTCTAGGCGAACGTAAAAAAATGTAGTATAATCACCGACAATTGGGAAACACTGGCCTACGAGCACTCCAATTGGAGAACAGCCTTTATCAAAGGCATCGTGGACTTTGAAGGTGCTTGAACTCAGGATGAAAGGGAGAAATGTGCTAAGAGGAAGGCATGTTTGGCAGACCCTCACCCTGATCACCTCCCATCTGGAAACCAATGTCCCCACTGTGGAAGGACGTATGGAAGGAATAATTGGCCTCCACAGTCACTTACAGACTACTGTTAAGACCATGTTCATGGAAGACAATCTTACTCGGCTACGAAGGATTGCCGAAGAAGAAGAAGAAGAAGAAGAAGAAGAAGAAGAAGAAGCAGCAGCAGCTTCCAGGAAAACGCTTGCGGCTGCAAAGGGTAAAGGAAAGGGGGTCATGAGCTTGTGAATATGTTCACTTAGAAGCAAGTCTCATTCAAAACACAAAATAAATACATAAAACAATTGCCCTAGATTAATGGTGGGAAGACAAAAGACTGGGTTTCTCAACCCCTGTCAAGGCATGTCTGGCATTTATATAGCACATTTCAGGCAATCCAGAGCTCCTACTGTAATACCTTACGAAGTAGGCTATTGAGACAGACAAATAGGAGCTGGTTTAAGGGGATTGGGCGAGTTTGTGGCCAAGGTGACATTTTTAACAGGGACTTTCCATCTCAGTTACAGCAAAACCATATTCTAGGCATGATTAACGTAGACACAAGTTTCACTTTGATCAGTGGGCTTTTTGCCAACGTAAGCAAATAGCCATGACCATTTCTTTAATGTGTAAATCTGAGACTGTACAAGGCAATTCTGCATGTTTCTTCAGAAGTCGATTCCTGGATTCCGTGGGCCTTACTCCCACACAATTCTGTTTAGGATTACAGCCTTGGCCTCATAAGAATCTCATTAATCAGATTTAACCCATACTGAAGTAACAGTAGCTTCCTCTGTACATGAGCTTCATTACCAACACATACACACCCTCAGGATCACAAAAAATAAACCACCTGTTTCTGTGTCCACATTCAGAACTAAAGAGCAAGGAAAGCTACTCAGCCAACATAAGATAAAGGGACCCCTGACCATTAGGTCTAGTCGTGTCTGACTGGAGTTGCGGCACTCATCTCGCTTTATTAGCCAAGAGAGCCGGTGTACAGCTTCCAGGTCATGTGGCCAGCATGACTAAGCTGCTTCTGGCAAACCAGAGCAGCACATGGAAACGCCATTTACCTTCCCGCTGGAGCGGTATCTATTTATCTACTTGCACTTTGGTGTGCTTTCGAACTGCTAGGTTGGCAGGAGCAGGGACTGAGCAATGGGAGCTCACCCCGTCGTGGGGATTCGAACCACCCACCTTCTGATTGGCAAGTCCTAGTACAACAAAAAAGCAATTCCCTGTTGGCTCTACCTGTAGGCTGTAACAGACGATGATACCCATCTGTTCTGTGCCATTACAATTTCATGTGACACCTTTTACAATCCCATTAAAGCTGCAGAACATTACCCAATATTTGTAAAGCAGAGCAGGAAGTGCTAAGATGCAAGAAGCTACTGTCAAAAACAAGTGTAGTGAGAAAGGATCAGCTCCTATAAAATGTGTTTACGTGAAGAGAAGCTTGAACCATTTCAGATGGTCTGGACTTTGCACATAACTCAGAATTTGCTGAATTCATAGCTTCAGTAACCCATGATAATAACCTTAGCGGATGGCACTCTTACAGCTAGTGTGTCCTCAAATGGTGGGAACAAAACTGGGATTGTCCACCTTGAGACTATAGAACTTGTTGCTTCACATCACAATGGTGGTTATAAAGAGACTGATGAGCAAATGTGAAAGGGCTTCCTCCGCTCCCCTTTCCCCGCCACTGTCTAGGAAATAATGAAAAGGGGGAGCCCAGGGCAGGCATTCGGAGTGGGCTCTCCTCAGCTGCCCAAGAATGCCAGCCTTGCTGATGCATCTGTTTTCTTATTAGAAGACAGGTTGTAGCTTTGATAGAAGCATGAAAGACATAGCAAGTGCAAAGAGAATGTCTGATAGAGTCCTATAACTCTTATGAACATGAAAACAAGTGCTGCAGAGCAGCTAACACATGTTAATAATAATAATAATAATAATAATAATAATAATAATAATAATAATGGTATTGGTGTTCTTTAGTCTCAGGTATGTGAAGATGTGCTTTGGGTTCTGGCCATTGGGTAGTGTGAGGAGTTTTTTCACATAAAGAATTAGACCATCTTGCACAGACATGTTCACAAACACTGGAGTTTGTATTGTATATGCAAATCCTCCATGTAAACCACTATATATATATATATTTGGCACTTCCAGTTTTCAATTGTTAGTTACAACCTACAGTCATAACCTTGGCCTCATCTGCTCCATATGTTTACGGTATATATGGGTGGTTCCATAGTTAATTCACTTTTTGGTATATAGTTGCAGTGGTTAAAGTGTTAAAAATAGAGGATTTCTAGCTGACCCAAAAAGCCCGTCCTGTCTCAGCACTCAGCAGCTTGATGTGCAAATAAATGTCAATAAGAGACATTTTCCATAGTGTGGGGATAAGTGACATCTGCAGGTGAAGTTGTCCAAAGCAGTGCTATGGTGGGAGGTTGCCAATATGACTAACCTATTAAAAACTGGATAAGGAAGTAGTTCTAAAGTTACTGAGAAAATAAAACCTAGGATATGGTAGCTATCCTGGATATATACTGTAATAATAAATGATACAATCTTATGAATGCCCCCCTTTCTCATCCTGCATAGCCTTCCCAGACACATTAATATTTTCC